GTGCATCAGTCTCCCTGTGGCCCGTGGTGAGATTACGCGAGTTATCATTCCATTTATCAGGGGACAACCTCAATAAAGACGGTGTTTTACAATTTTTAAGGTGTACCAGAACGCCCCTCCCCGCCCTCCTCTCTCCCTCCTACGCTGCCGTGCCGTGGCCCCGGCACACCACCACGTCGGGCTGGCAGCCGCAAGATATCGACTCAAGTCGTCGGTGTGAAGGTGCGTCACCGACCACCTGGTCAGGCACAAGTTCAGATGTACCCTCAGCAGAAGTGGCTCCAAGAATAAAAGCGATGAACAGAGTAACTCTTCAGGGGGGGTGTCTGGTCTGTCCCTTTCGCAAAAAATAAGTAAAATGGGGGAGAACTTGAATTAGGCAGCAGCAAAAGCAAGTCACTGATGCATTTTTAGCTACGTACATGTGCACTCTGTTTATACACGAAAAATTTGAGGGAGAAAGAACAACATGAGGGTAAACGACGGTTCGCGTCCCTTTCAACTCATCTTTTCTTCTTTCCGCTAAGGTGCATCAAATAATAGCCTCTACGCATAATTCACCAGCGAACACACTCACACACACACACACACACACACACACACACCTACACGCACACCAATAATAACACACATTGTGTGCACGCACGGTGCTCGACCCTCCCTCCCCCTGCCGTTTCCTGGAAGGCGGAGCACAGCACACACTGCACCGAACTGACCTTGCAAAGGGTTGGTCCTCCACCTCGTACAGCTCCTCGATGGGCTTGTCGCTGAGCAGCTCCTTGACGCGGTCCTCGGACAGCTCCAGGTAGCCGGGCTGCGAGCTGAGCATCTTGACGGCGGCGACGGCCGCGACGGCAGCGGCGGGGGCCGCGGTGGCGGCCGCCACCTCCTCACAGCTGTCCTCGGCGCAGCTGCTGCTGCCGCTGGCGCCGCTGTCGCTGTCCGAGGCGCTCAGGTAGCCGCTGCTGTCGCCGTTGCTGTTGTTGTTGTTGTTGGCCACATCCTCGCTTTTGTCGGACGCGGCCTCGTTGTTGTTGAAGAGGACGGCGCCGCCGCCGCCGCTGGGCACCAGGTTGAGCACCTCGCGCATCCTGATCGCGTTCGGTTGCACGGCACACTGAGAGCCGTCACCCAGCCGACTATCTGCACTGCCAGCCCCCTATCACCACTCGTAGTCTCGAACACTCTTTCTCGCACTCACTCCCACACACACTCACACACGCGCGCGCGCGCTCGAGTTCTTCACCCTTTCTTAACCACTCCCGGTGACGAGGCGCACTCGCGCGCTGCGCACGGCCAGGGCCGTCCCATGGTGGTGAACGAGTTGAGGCACTTGGGTGAGCACGACGCGGGCGCGAAAATAAAGTCCAAGTCCGACACAAAAGTCCAGTCCAGCACAGTCCGAGAGCACAAACTCAACACAAACGAGCGCGCGCACTTTCAACACTGAGTAGAGAGTATCCAGGTGAGGGCGGGTGATAATCCAAGAGGTGTAGAAGGAGATCACTTCACTTCCATGCTGCGCTCAAAGAGCAGAGCAAACCACACGCACACACATGCACTGACACACACGAACTCTGCACTACGCGGACACGCACACACTCAGACACACACACTCGATCACAGCTGCGCGACGCGAGAGGCAGTCGCGGCGACGCTCGCGACGTAGACGACGCGGCTCCGGAGCTGCGGCGCGCACGACAGACGGGCGCGTCCTCTCTCCACGGCCGGCGCTCAGCGTGTGAGCCCCGCCGCCAGCCGCCAGCCAGGCCGCCGCCCCTCCCCCTCCCCCCTCCCTCCCTCGCGCAACCTTGCCCCCACCACCGCCCGCCGCCGGGCCGCCAGCCGCCACCCACAGCAGCCGCGGCGCAGCCCAGCGCAGCGCGCAGCAGTCTGCAGCGGGCGTGGCGGGGCGTGGCGGGGCGTGGCGGGGCGTGGCGCGGCGTGGCGGGGCGTGGCGGGGCGGCTGCACTGTTGCAGCTGTTGCAGTCGCGGGCGCAAGTTCAAACCCGCGACGACGACCACGACGGTCGCGACTCGGCGCAGCGCGGCTGCGCTGAGACTCGCGGGGCCACGGGTGGCTGCTGTGCTGTAGAGTCTAGGCCTCTATACTGTGCTGCTGGCGGGCTGGGGCGTGCCCCCAGCCCGAGCCGAGCGGCAGCGCTGGTTGTTACAGCGAGAAACATGGGGGGCCTGCTGTAAAGGGAAAGAAAACGTTTTCCCAGCTCGGGACCTACGCGACGCTGTGGTTTTGTTGAATTTTGAATTCCACCAAGGCACTGCACACTGACTGAAAGCCTCGTCTTCGTTCTTCGTCAGTCGTGACGGGCGCGGGCGTAAAGAAATGATTAGCAATGGCAACCATCATATGGTTGGCTAAGGGAGCACTATAAAATATGCTTGATGCAACCTTACCGTGGTAGTGGGAACCCAAAATTTGGTTTTCATCACGTTGTCACTGTTGTCTCAACCATATTTTATGGTGCTCGCTGAGCTGACCATTAGATGGTTGCCAAGCAGGAGCAGCAGGAGCACCAGCAGCAGGAGCAGCCATATTTTATGGTGCTCGCTGAGCTGACCATTAGATGGTTGCCATCGCTAATCATTTCTCTAGGTATACATAGGGACATGCAAACTTTTGGTGTCCGTTTTCGTAAACGGCTAGGGGGCCAGGGTAAATAGTTACCCATAAGGTAATATAAATTTCCTACGGAATTTTAAATAAAAGTGGTCCTTATTTGCAACATCTTTAACGTCAGCCACGAGATATGGACGACAAAAAAACCCTAAAAACCCTAAAAATTGTTAAGCATTCTGATCAGCTTGTCGAAAGGTAGAGAATGTAAGTAAAATGGGACAGGAGAGCCGAAGACAACAAAGAGCCCCGATCGCAAAAGTATTCCTATGACCTCCGAAGAAAACGCGCCTTTTACAGATGGTTTGTTTTGCACCTTGGCCGCCGTCGATCGCGCTCCAGTTCTCGTTAAAAGTGCTTGTTGCGTATTTTTCCGCGAATCGCGAATCTAGCCGGTGTAGTTTCTGCCCCGCGGCAGAGAGGTGGCTGGGCGCGGGGCGCTACGGCCGGCCAGGGGTCGCCGCGGCCGCGAATGCGGCACCATGCGCGCTCTACCGGGCGAGGCTGGAAGTTCCACGGGCGGCGCGGCGGCGGCGGCTCCGGACGCGGATAGGGCGCAGCGGGGCGTTGAGAGAGGGAAGAGGGAGAGAGAAAGAGAGAGAGAGAGCAAGAGCAAAGAGATTGGTAAGAGTGAGAGAGACAGAGCGAGAGAGGGAGGAGGCGGAGAGGAACAGGACGTTCGTTTGCGGCGAAGAAGGATGGAGTAAGACAAGCCGCCAAAACGCGATAGAGAGGGTAGATAAAAATGCGGACACTGGCGGGCGATTAAAATTGGATCTAGTCAGTGGGTAATATACAATCGCCTCTCTCGCACCACACGGACGGTGATGAAAGTGGACTCCGGCGAGGGGCACCCCGTCCGGCGTCCGGCCGAGGGAAGTCCCTCGCGCCCCACTTCTGGGAGCAGGCTGCCGCCCGGTGCACACCCTTCTTCAGCTCAGAACTGCAGAGGGAGGACAAAAACTTGGTATAGTGTGCCGTGGTGGTGGTGGTGCGCGGTGGCGCGGCGTGGTATGGTCTAGCGCCAGCCGGCGGCGGGGCCGGCAGACCAGCTGTGAGGGGAAGCGGCACACGGCTGGGCGCGGCGCACGGAGACTTTGCAGGGATTATTTGCAAACAAAAGCTTTTGGCGCGCGGCAGTCGTACCCGCGGCTGCTTTAATAAACATTGCGTAAAAAAATGGGGACGTGCGGCGGAGCTTCCCGGCGATGTGTTCATTGAAGTGGGCCACAGCAGAAGAAGCAGGGTGGCGCAGGAAAAAACTTTATTCGACTTTATTGCAACTTTATGCTGCTACGATAATTTCTACCAAGGCCAGCTCACTCGCAAGAATCTTTTAAAACAAACAAATATTTTCACATTTTTCCCATTTGTTTTTGTCTTACTGGTCTTGACTTTTGGAAGAAAAAATATCTAGAGCTGAGCATTTTGTGTTCGCAAAATAACATTCACGCATAAACGCAAAACAAAGGATTTTCTGTTCGTTTTTTATTCATTTGTTTGCTTGTTTTGGCTACAAAAGCGGAGTTGCGAAAACATTGTTGTAGAAATTGAGAGGGAACTCCAAAAGGTGAAGTGGCGAGACGAGCATGCAATATAATTTGCTTTAAAAAAACACGATACAAACATATACATAATGGAATAGCTGATAATAACAACAACTGTCCCGTGAAGGTTCCCATCAGCCATAGCGTTGGACGCAAATCACCCCGATGAGACGTGCCGGTATGCAGCAGCCGCAGCTGCAGAAGGATTTATAATTGCAATAGGCAGACAGTGTCTCCAATTCGTCTCCTCCCGCCTGGCTCCGCGTGGCACCGCCGGCCCTTCTCCGCTGAGCTGTAACTCCGCGGGATAACGGAGCGGGCCGCGTCCGGAGCGGCGGCTGGCGCTGCGGTGCCTCTATGCAGGGGCGGCCCGCACCCCGCACGCAGCCCGGCAGTCATGTGCGGCAATGCAACAGCAATGCACCGCCGGAGCTCATGCAAAAACAGACCAAAGGGGTAATGTCATTGTCGGCTCGACTTTTATTCACTTTATGAAGTCCGAACCGCGGGCAAAGGACTTTTTATCAGCCACTGGCCGTTGTCTTCCCATGTGGCAGCGGAAGGCCCGTTGTTGCCCTTTCTCACTCCACGCTCAGAAAAACTCTTTACTGGTTTCAAGGAAATTTTTCCTTGTTTCAAGTAAATGCGACTCCAAGATCAATTAACTCTGGGAACAAGCTGAAATTATCTTTCCAATAAGAGAAAAATGTTCTTCCAACTGGTTATAAGAGTGAATTTAATCTTCGAGCAGCATGCTCTTAAAATAAGAAACAATTTTTCTGGGTGCAGCTCCTGCTAGCTCTTGCTCTTTCTCCAGCTACTCCTGCTCTTGGTCCTGCAGATCCTGCTCTTTGGTCCTGCTCTTGCTCCTGCTCCCCTGCAGCGGTAGGAGATTGGCTATTTTTTTGCCTTTTCGCCGCACTATAAAGTGGCACAAAGTGTCCTTGTCCTTCCCTCCCTCCCGCGGCGAGGCGCGCGGGTCGGCAGGGCGCATCCCGTTAGGCCCCCGGCGGGACACAGGACAGGACTGCCGCGGCGCAGCAAGGCGCAGCAAAGGCGCAGCAGGAGCATGCGCAGCAGGAGCATGCGCAGCATGCGCAGCATGCGCAGCAGGAGCAGCAGGAGCAGCAAGAGCAGCAGGAGCAGCAGGAGCACCAGCAGCAGGAGTAGGAGCAGCAGGAGCAGCAGCGAGCAGCAGGAGCAGCAGGAGGAGCTGCACGAGGAGCAGCAAGAGCAGCAGCAGCAGGAGCAGCAGTCAGGAGCGGCGCAGGCCGCAGAGGACCTTGCTGCTCCCCACACCGCTTCTCAATAATTCGGCGGAATTTCGTGATTTATTGTTGCGTCAGGTGGCGCAACACAAAAGATCGCCGGACGCCAGGCGCGGACGGGCGGGATGACACCTCTATTCCCGTCCACGCCCGGGCCATAGCCCAGGGCTCGCCCCCCACCACAACCGAAAACTTTTACACTCACACTTTTACACGTACCCCAAAACGGGGAAGGTGGTGGGGTGGGGGGGAATTAGGGAAATAAAAAGACGGTTGGCGCCGTATTGTCCACGGCGTTGACCTACTCACGCCTGCTTCCAGAGTCGGCAGAAATAAAACTCCTTTTGTTTTGTTTTTTGTTTTTTTAGGGGTTCAGCTATGTAATTTTTTTTATGGGCCAGAAGGCCGTTGAATATATTGTGCGATTGGCCACTACTTATTTAGCATCATAATTAACATCGTCCGATGATGAAAAACAATCGATCCCTTCGGAATATTAGGCATACCGAAAAACAGTAAGATATCATTGCGAAAGGGGCAGGGGCAATGGAGGGGTCGCACCGAGGGTCGCACAACAACACACGTAGGCCTACCAAGTCGTTCTCATCGGAAAGTTTTTGAACGTGTTGCAAATTGAAAATACTATTAACAACTCTTGAAGATCAAGTTCACTGTCCACACTAGAGGCCGGGCACTTGTCAGCGCAGTCACCTCCTCGCGGGCAAAACCTTTATATTCCAGGAAACGAAAGATAACGTGGCCATCAAGTAGCGGTGGTGCCCCGCCGCGAGAAGAGGAAAGAAGGGGGGGGGGATCCCTCCCTTTTCCTCCAATCCCCCGCCTCCCACAGGGGGCGCTATGGTCTCTGCATAACGGCGCGCTGAGTTTTGGACGAGGAGGCGGCGGGTTCAGGTACTTTTGGCACTCACCGCCCGGAACGCTCAGCTCAGAAGGAGCCCCCATGCACGCGGGTACTTCGCCCGTCCCCCAGCGCCACCGCGCCACAGTCAACGACCTCCGGACAGTCGTCGGGCGCGGCGAATGGCGTCGCCCCCCGGGAGCAGCGCAGCGCCCGCCCCGCGGCCCCCCCGCGCGCGCGCCGTCCACACATCAGAGGGGGATACTTCACGGACGGGACGCGGAGCAAAGGGACCCAAGGCGGTGACAGCTGCTGGGCCGCCAGGGCTGGGCCCTCCTGGACCCCCCCGCTCCGCCTCCCGCCCCTTGCCCGCCGCCGCCAAGAGTCCCCGTTAGGTTACCTCACGTTTGCTGGCGATAATCCCCAGAAAAATGCAGCAGCCACGGCTTTCAGCGGCGCGTTGCCTTTCCGCGCCGCGAGCGTCCAGCGCCGTTGAACCGAACCGAACCGCGGGTCACCGACTTTATAGGCGCGCCGACGACTCTTCAAACAACTATGAGTGACAAAACCTCGCGCGCCTTTTCAAAATTATGATTGGGTGGGCCTTCGCATTCTTACTTAGAAGTGTAACAAAGTCTCATCGAGAGAGGTACAATCTAAATAGTGTAAATATTAAAGGGAACAATTTTGGAAACTAGCACCAGACTTCCTGTATGCATTACTGAGTTTAGATTAGTAACTACGTAGCTAGTGACAAACATTATACCTGAAGTATGTGTCGTCGGTGTTCAGGGTTTAGTGCTTTTGTCACTAAAACTGCCAAAGGCTCAAATTTTTGTCACCTTCCCGGCTCTATCGTGCCTGAACGAAGGCTTATCAAATTCTAAATTCCTTTTGCACCAATACAAAGGCTGTGCAAAGGTGCGGCTGGGCACAGGGAACCTTTGTTTTCCCAGTGCAGGGCAAGCACTGTCGAACCGAATTCAACTCTCTGCTAGCGCCCTTTCAGCTCTGCGTTTCTCTCCGACCGTCTCACTCGCACGCGCACAGCGGGTCGGGTCACGCCGCTCGATGCTGGACGCTGGATGGCCAGCCCATGGGGGCCACGAGCTGTCGCCGCAAGGGTTGTTGCCGACACCGAGGGCGATAACTCACAGAAATCTGTAAGAATCGAACTGGGGAGTGAGTGGTTTATCCCTCGCGCCCACAGAGCCGTCACCAGCGCGGTCCTTGAGCGATCTGACGACGCAGAATGCAAATGGAACGGTGCTATAAAAATGAAGCAATTTATTGAACTGCTGATGAAGTAAAATGTAACATTAAGACTGGTTTCAGTTTAAAGTTGGGGCTGCAAAGATTTGCTCGAATGCAATTAAAAAAATTTCCAGTGAGAGTGATAGCACCTATTTCGCGGGTATGAAGAGTGGCGCGAAATAAAAAATTACTGTCGTGCCCTGCTCGCGACAAATTTTTACACTTTGCGAGCACCTTCATATTTTCTGAGGGGTGCCCAACTGTGGTAATCAGGTGTACACAGACTTGTTAATCACGGGTAATCACTGGTAATCACTGGTAATCACTGGTAATCACTGGTAATCACTGGTAATCCCTGCTAAACCAGACACTAAGAGTCACTTCAAACGACAAATTTGTTGATTGAGACATGCATTTTTGTGCACATCTCGCCTAAATGCTAACGCGCATGTTTAAGATGGCGAATTGGCATCCCTTCCGTGGACGGAAACATAATTTGTCCACTCAAAGAATTCAAATTTGTTACTTGCAAGATAAAGTATTAGGAACTAATTAGGATGTGCACAAAAATGCATCTTTCTCGGAACCAAAAATGGCAGTTTAGATTAAGAATGCAGGCAAATCGTTAATGGTAATCTTTGGTAATATTTGGTAATCCTTAGAATTTGGTAATCTGGTGTACACATTTTTATAGAGTTGGGCACCCCTCGATATTTTCTCTCCTCCAACCGACCCCTTAGCATACGCAAATTAATGCCTGATCTGAGGAAGAATCAGTCGCTAACTCTTCAGTTGTGAGTAAAACCGCGAAACAAAAGCGTTTGATCAGGCACACCGGCACAGAGCGTGCCACAGCGGCCGCGTTTGAGCAACCAATAGCCGCCCTGGCAACATCACCACCAGGTTAATTTTGTTTATCGGCCGGGGGTTGGCCGCCCCGTCAGGTCGGGCGGGCGCCGCGGCGCGCACCGCCGCAGAGCTCCGCCGCAGCAGACATGTTCCAACCTCATTCTTTGCAGTCACGATCTTCTAATCGCTCGTGTTTGATCAAGTGTTGGCCAAATACTAGGTCGACCTCCTCTGCTCGCGGGGCGGCTGTTGGTTCGATTTACTGCTGAGCGGTCAATTCACGGTTCGCGGAGCACTCAGCGGGAGAGAACAGCAGAACGCCGGTGGCGTAGCCCCGTCGGGCTGTGCGGGCGAGAGAGACGGAGACAGACAGACAGACAGACCCCCCCCCCCTCCCTCCCAAAGTGCCCTTAATGTTAATCCATGTCTTAAAATTTGTACTTTATTTTCTTGGGTGCATGTTAAGTAGAATGCTCTCAACAAATTTAGGAAAATGCACTGCTCGAGAACTATTAATCAAACTTGTACATGATGCATTAAAATGAAGAACATGTTCTTGGGGCGTTTCCGGAGAAACGCGTAGAGACGAAATTTTGGTCAGCGGACTGGATCTCTTGTAATGTTATCAGTGAGGCGGTCGATTTGCAAGGAATGGAAACACGCCAATCAAGGCCAATTGTGTTCTTCTATCTTACCATAGTTTTGAAGCTGCTCAGCGGCTAAATTTCGACCGGCCAGCCATCTACACTAATCGGACGTAATTTAAGACTTTCTTTTAATTCAAAGTTTGTTTTAAGTCTCGCCGTCGATATTGTAAACCTACAATTCAGCAGACCAAGCGCCGCTACGCCGCTGCCGATCGATCCCCATCAACTATTGCAGCGAGGCTCGTGCCGCACGGGCTTCAGGAGCTCCCCCCCCCCTCCCACAACACTCGCCGTGCAACAACCAATCGCTACCCCCAAAATTTAATTTTCAAACTTGGCCATTGAAAGCAACAATCAATTAAAACAAAGATACGTACTGACTGTTACAAGTTAAGTGCGCACTATGAAGCCCGATCCGACTTCTTTTCCAGCATTTGTCTCAAAAGCTATTGGCAGTCTATGTTATTTGGAGCAACATAACAATAAACTAACCTTCCAGTTCTGGATAGCCCACCGCAGTCATTAGTCACTGGTTCTAAACAGGTGCTACTGTGTAACTGATGATCGCTGTACGCGGGGCCGCGGCCGCGCCGCAGGTAACTATAACATTGGCCCACATCCCGAGGGAGGCAGCGAGAAATTAAGTGCAAAGCTATGAAGTAGCGGGGCGTGGCGGGGCGTGGCGGGGCGGGGCGTGGCGGGGCGCCCTTAAATGAGCGGTGCGTCAGAGCAGCCGCCGGCCCCGCCTCACACACCTGAGCATGCGCAATGCGACGCACGGTAGCTAATGGAGGGGAAAAGGGGGGAGGAAAGGAGAGGGGGGGGGGTAATTCTATTTCATTTTTTTTGTGCTCTCGCAAAAAGAAGCCCTCGCTTGGAGTCGAGCGCGTGTGCGATTCAGTCTGCCGAGTAGTACTATGAGCCGACGTACGAACTCATCATGAGACGCTGCAGAAAAACCATCAGATGATGGCTACATTGTGTTGATCAACGCTACCGACCGTCTGCCCGTCTGTCTGTCTGTGCGTCTGCGACCGTGCTCGTGGCATTTGGCGATGCGGCGCCCCCGTGCCCCTAATGCCATGCGCAGGCTTTTGTTGCTGTGGTCCCGCCGGACCCGCGAGTCCTGCGATGACAGCATCACAGCATCAGCTCGAGGGAGGCTCCGCGCTCCGCGCAGATGGCATGTGTGGACATCGCCGGGTGCAAAATCACATCAGTGTGACCGCCGTACAGCCTGTTACAAAGGGGAACGCCACGGGCTGGAACGCCTCGCCGGGGAGGAACACCACCACCGAGGTTGGTGCGGCGGCGGAACGCCCCGCGCTGCTGGTACGCCTTGCTGCTCCCTTCCGCGCCCGAGCTTTGCTCACCGCACGACTCCGTTTCGTAAACACGCGCCCCAATAAATGCAAACGGCCGAGGCGAGCTCCTCTCCTTGGGCCCCCCGCCCCGCCCCGCCCCGCCCGGAGTGACAGCGCGGGCGAGTGCACTGAATATGTACAGAGGACGGCGGCGGCGGCGGCGGCGGACTCGCATTCATGACTCTGTTTTTTCTGCCCGTTTCGCAAACAGACTTCACTCTTCTCACTCACTTCCTGCAGCCGTCCGTCCTCACGAACTCCTCCTCCTCCTTTGCTCCTCGAACACACTCTGCTGTGCTTGCTCGGCGAGGAAGCACGTCCAGGCCGCGCCATCAGCACTCCACCCTGCAAATCAAAGAAGCAAAGGAGTGAGAAGCCTACTGCGAAACGTTTCAGTAGTAAAACGGGCAACAACTGAAATTAGAATGACATGGCAAATGTGTCAGATTTTTAAAATTAACAAACCAACAACAGAACAAAACTGTTTAAATCATTCAAGTGACATGTTATTTCTTGGTAGTTTCAGTTTCAGTAGTGAGCAAAATTTTAAAAGTATCATCCCGATCATCTACTAATCTGGTCGAAAAACAAATTGATCACTCTTCATATTTATGAAACGTTTTGGCTAATGACCTCTCTGAAAGCAGCGTACATCATCCTTCTGAGTAAATCTGCTACCGTCGCTTTGCGAAAATTGGACAGAATTTCGCCAGTTGCACACGGACATTTACACGACAGACGGCACAACTTGTTGTTTTGCATGCAGTAGAGCGGCACGGCACGAGCGCCGCGCCCAGAGCCCTCGCCAGAGCCCCTGCATACTGCCGGGTAGGCAACCCAATGCGCTCCGCTGTGCGCCGGGCCTCCGGGGCGCCCGGCCCCGAACGCGCCGAGGAATGACTCTTCAACTTCAACGAGGGTTATAACGACGGGCACAATAAACACGCCAAAAACGTCGGAAGAAGCACGGCGTGAAAAACTAAAACAGCAGCGGCGGTCGAGTCCTCTGCTCTGCAAGGAAAAGGAGGGGGGGGGGGGG